CACACAGAGGAGACCAGGTGAGTGAGCACACAGAGGAGACCAGGTGAGTGAGCGCACACAGGAGACCAGGTGAGTGAGCGCACAGAGGAGACCAGGTGAGTAAGCGCACAGGTGAGACCAGGTGAGTGGGCGTGCCGCAGGGCCACTGTCGACTCCGATGCGGCACTCCCACCCCCGACTCCGCCGAGTCCTCGCCCGGATAAAACTCAACGCAGACTCAGCGAGGCCTAAGCGCAATGTTTATGAACGCAAATGCAGGTAACCTGATAGCGGATTAAATTAGTTTGACGTTTTCTGAGCAGCAGAGACGTGATGTGGAGCGAGGAGGGGGGGAGACAGGCCGAGGTGACGCTATTTGAGTTTTGCCTGAAGCAGTGAAATCGTGAGTACGATTTCACCCCGATACCGCAATGCGCTTAGCTTACAGATCCAGACCAGTCACGTGTACAGCCGGCTCGGTATACAGGGCACCGGGCACACGGGACGACACGGGAGACACCTCAACACGGATGCACTCGGGGATGGGGACGCTTAAGACACGGGAACTCGGTGAAGACATTGGGCAGCTTAAACACGTGTTCGCGAGAGAGGGTTTGGGTCCTGTCGATGATGACGATGATGCTGCTGCTGCTACAACTGCTGCTGACATGAGTTAGGAATCCGATAGCAATGACGGTGGCGATGATGATGATGATGTAAATAATGATACGACTGCAACCGCTACATCGATGACGATGTAGAAATGAAGCGATGATGCCGGTAAAGAAACGGCACCTGCAGTGAGAGCGTTAATTCGGCTCACCTGAGTCCCCACAGACTCGAAACTTCACGTCCGCAGGTACCGGAGACTTGGTTCCACGTGAGAGCACAGGTGAGTGAGCACACAGACGACGCCAGGTTGAGTGAGCGCACAGAGGAGACCAGGTGAGTGAGCGCACAGGGGAGACCAGGTGAGTGAGCGCACAGAGGAGACCAGGTGAGTGAGCGCACAGGTGAGACCAGGTGAGTGAGCGCACAGAGGAGACCAGGTGAGTGAGCGCACAGAGGAGACCAGGTGAGTGAGCGCACAGAGGAGACCAGGTGAGTGAGCGCACAGGTGAGACCAGGTGAGTGAGCGCACAGAGGAGACCAGGTGAGTGAGCGCACAGGTGAGACCAGGTGAGTGAGCGCACAGAGGAGACCAGGTGAGTGAGCACACAGGTGAGACCAGGTGAGTGAGCGCACAGACGATGCCAGGTGAGTGAGCACACAGAGGAGACCAGGTGAGTGAGCGCACAGAGAAGACCAGGTGAGTGAGCACACAGAGGAGACCAGGTGAGTGAGCGCACAGAGGAGACCAGGTGAGTGAGCGCACAGACGAGACCAGGTGAGTGAGCGCACAGACGAGACCAGGTGAGTGAGCGCACAGACGAGACCAGGTGAGTGAGCGCACAGAGGAGACCAGGTGAGTGAGCGCACAGCGAGTGGGCAGGGCGAACGAAACCGCGGGCTGGGCGATTGGGCAATCAGCATGAATGTGGCCACGGAGCGGACAGACTGTTGGGGCAAGTGCTGTCCGTAGCGAGTCAGCGGCACCTGGGAAGGCGGACACGACACACGAGAGGGAGGGTGGGTGGGTGGCCGCCAGCGTCACGCCCGAACGATCGCAAAACAAAAAGTCACCGTGCCGTAGACGTCACCCCCCCCCCCCCCCCCCAAATTCTCCGATGAATACGGCTTGGGATGCTGCTCCGCCGGTGATTGAAGGGGTTTTTTTGCCGTCGTTTGCGAGCCGCAAACGATGGTTACTCAGATCCGTGGGTTCGATTCCCGGAGCCTGAATGCTGTCCGTCGTATATTTGTGAGTCGGCGTGTTCCCCCCGTCTCTCGGTCTCGGTCTCTCCCCGTGATGATTGTCGCGTGGATTATTTTTTGTTGTTGTACAATGACCCTTTAAATTTCGATTTAAAGCTTTCGTGACTGCAGGGATTCATCTTCTTGGTTCTTTCGGTAAAGTCACGTAGAAGGGAAATAATACAATAATAAAATATAAACATTTATGTTGTATTTTATTATGTTCTATTTTTATTATTTTATTATTTACCTTCTACGTGACTTTACCGAAAGAACCAAGAAAATGACACTTTAATTGAAATTAACATACAAACGGGAAAAGCAAGTTTGGCAAACTTTAATTGAAAATTGGTATCCCATCGCGCCTATGTATGTTGGACGTCTTTCGCACCGGTACATCGTCAACCATGCTGGTGATAAAGCAAGCTTTGACTCTTCAAAATCATTTATTCTAGATTTGAAGCTTTCGTGACTGCAAGGATTCATATTCTTAGGTTTTTTCGGTAAAGTCACGTAGGAAAAAAATTTAAATTAATAAAAGTAAAATAAAAATACATATCACGACGTTTCACTTGCTACAGCTATCGTGCTGTGACGGTTCCACCTGAAGACGGAAGCTTGTGTTGCCTGGAAACGTGATTTTTATTTTATTTTTATTTTACTTTTATTAATTTAATTTTTTTTACCTACGTGACTTTACCGAAAAAACCTAAGAATATCTTCAAAATCATGTTTAATGTTGAAACTCGCGGGGATTCATCTCCAGGTGCCCGCGGCCGTTACCCTCCGCGTGAGTCAACTTGCGCTTAATGAGGCACGTTGGATGGCAAGCCGCTTCCATGCATCGATGATGAGTGGCCAGGGTCAAAAAGAGAATCAGTGGGTTTTATTTTTCGATTTAAAGCTTTCGTGACTGCAGGGATTCATCTTCTTGGTTGTTTCGGTAAAGTCACATAGAATGGAAATAATAAAATAATAAAAGTAAAACATAATAAAATTGTCACGACGTTTCGGCCACAACGCAAGCAGCCGTCCTCAGGTGAAGACCAGGTCTGTCGGGGAGACAGCGTCTGAATGAAACACCACCAAGCTTGGAGCGTATATTTAAGCTGGGTTGGAATGAGACCTGGTCTTCACCTGAGGACGGCTGCTTGCGTTGTGGCTGAAACGTGAGAATTATTTTATGTTTAAATTGCATTATTTTATTATTTCCATTCTACGTGACTTTACCGAAAGAACCAAGAAGAAGAATCAATGGGCTTTGCCGGGTGAATAAAATGGTTTGGTTAAGTTTATGAAGCGGTCAGCAGCGTCGCGTTCCCGTGACCCGTGCACCACAATCAGTAAACATTAAACCCCGTGGTCGTTTCACTCGCTTCACTCAATCATTAGCCGAGCCTATTCATGATCAACTCATTCACTGACTTATTTGTTTACGCGAGCGAGGGTTAACCTGTGTAAGCAGCCCCGCACATTGCTGTTGTGGTTACATGACACACGGGGGGAGGAGGGGATCAGATGACGAAAATCCTCCACACAACCACGTGTCCTCCAAACATCTCGCGAGCGCTCTCCGCTACCTGACACGTCTCTCATCTCCTGCTACACCTGACACGTCTGTCATCTCCTACTACAGCTGGCACGTCTCTCATCTACTACACCTGAGACGTCTCATCTCCTACTACACCTGGCACGTCTCTGTCATCTCCTACTACACCTGGCTAAACACACACACACACAGCGTGGAACTGGTTGCCAAAAACATCCGAATGCTAGTAAATTTCCCTTGGAAATCACCCAATTTGGATCGCATACAGCCTCGCCGAGTCTCAGCAACCACCGCCAATCCCCAACCACCACCGCCGCCGCCGCCACACCGACTGAGAAAAATTGGCAGGACGCTCCTGAAAAAGAACCAGGTTGAGACTCAGCGAGGCTAACAAATGTTCATATTCTTAGGTTTTTTCGGTAAAGTCACGTAGGTAAAAAATGTAAATTATTAAAAGTAAAATAAAAAATCACGACGTTTCGGAGGCAACACAAGCTTCCGTCTTCAGGTGGATACGTCACAGCATGATAGCTGTATCAAGTGAGAGGTACAGCTATCGTGCTGACGGTTCCACCTGAAGACGTAAGCTTGTGTTGCCTCCGAAACGTCGTGATTTCAATTTTATTTTACATTATTAATTTTAATTTTTTACCTACGTGACTTTACCGAAAAAAACTTACGCATATGAATCCTTGCAGTCACGAAAGCTTCAAATCTAGAACTAACAAATGTTTACATCATTGCAGTGCACGGGGTAGATACGATCTCAACCACCTCCTCGCCTGCTCCGAATTAAACTCACTCGACCAGAACTGTCTCCGGGGATGTCACTCGACCTGTCTCACTCCTCTGAAGATGGCTCAAATTGCCCAAAGCGTTCGACTGTGTACATTTATATTTTAATAACGCTCTGGACTGTTCCGACCGCAGACAATGCCAAACTGACCACCCCCCAACCGCCCATCCCCGCCCTGTAAACACCACTCGCGTCATCTTGCCTAGGGTTACAGCTGATGGTGGAGGAGTTTGGATGCACATCGTGGATCGGTCAGCGCGTGCAAGGCGGAGGAGAGATGCCAGGCGCGTGCGACGTGGTCTGCTGTATGAGCTGGCATGAGCAATGACTCACAAAGACACCCCCCCAACCCCCCGTGAAGCCTGAAACAGACTGTAGGGGCAAGTGCTGGTAGTGAGTAGCACCTATGAAGGCCGGCACGGCACACGAGGGGGTGGGTGGCCAACAACACGCCCGACCGCCTTTGTCTCCCTCATGGCGATGTTTACACACCGCATCAGATACTCATTTGAGGCTGAGTCGACCTAGGAGAGGCTCAGGACCGGTTCAGATATTCGTCACCGCTGTTGGTCGTCACCGATAATTTTATTGGGGTCACCGGATTTGTAGTGCAGTGAGCCAACCGACCGGGTTTGTGGTGCAGTGTGCTAACCACTCCGCTACCGCTCCGCACACACACACACACCGTCTCGCTCTTCCGCATGCTCGCTCACCGACACCCGTTCACTCGTTCACTCATTCACTCGCACTCGCTCCTTCTCCCGCTGTGAACTGAAACCCCCGCGACGATGTCAAGAGAAGAGGTCACGAGGTCAAGCGACGGCGCATTGATCGATGGATTATAATCGATTGTTAACGACACGCGACGCACGACACGCGACACACGCAGACAGAGCGACGTGAACACAAAGTGAACGACGCGGAGGCCAAATGGCGAGCGAGCGAGCGAGCGCAGCCGGGCGGTGGAGCACGAACGTGGGCTGCGGCGTGACGGCGGCGTCGACCGTTGCCCTCGGGGCGTCGTGTTTTTCGCGCTCAACGTTTCAAAGTGGCCAGGATTGGAAACACGTGTCGATGGTGGAGCGCTCGCACCGTCGTGGGATGCTGTTGCTCTCACCGCTCCCTGTTTGTGCGCACGCGGCGAATGTCTCGTCCGGCCATACGACCCCACAACCCCACCACTGGCATTACGATGACCCCCTGGCACTACGACCCCAATAGCCCTACAACGACCCCACAACCCCACAACTGGCCCTACGATGACCCCCCGGCACTACGACCCCAATAGCCCTACAACGACCCCACAACGACCCCACAAACCCACCACTGGCCCTACGATGACCCCCCAGCCCATCGACCCCACTGGCCCTACAACGACCCCACTGGCCCTACAACGACCCAACTGGCCCTACAACGACCCCACTGGCTATAAAACCAACCCAGCTGGCCCGCCGATTTAAGGCACAGGAGTTGCGGACAGCACCAGGCCCCGCCCCGACCACGCCACGCAGACGCCAGTCACTCACAAGGGGTCCAGCGCTCGCCGCCATCACGGCTCAGAGTTTCACTGCAAACGCGGAACGAAGAAAACCACAGGCTCCCCTCCACATTTACAAAAATCTGAAAATTTACAAACAGCTACGCTTGCCCCCAGCCCCCCGCCCACCCCCGCCAGCCCCCCAATCCCAACCACCAAAGCCAATTAGCGACGACTGCCCATCATAGACGGGGGGCGGCAGAGCACAGGCGACTGTGGCCACAGGCTATCTGCCATTCGTAAACCACGGTGATGCCAACTGCAGGAACGGTCCAGTCTTTGTGATGCGATGCGTATCCGATGGCGATGCAGCTGTTGCCGTGGCGATGCCGTCTGTGACCGCAGCGGTGCCACTGGTAGCCGCGGCACAGTCACTGGGACGCAGCGTGTAACCATGGCGACTCGCCCTGTGACCACGTTGATGCCGACTGTCGCCATGGTGATGCCATCTGTAGCCATGGTTCCGCTACGGTGAAGCAGTCCGTGTCCGTGGAGACGCAGCCCGCAGCCGTGGTGACACCTGCAGCCGTTGTTCTGCTCCGCCTGCAGCTGCCGCTCAATGGTCGTGGCGGGTGAGAAAGTCTGTATCCACGGTGACGTTCGTATCCATGGCGACGTCTGTAACCGCGGAGATGCTGCTTGTCGCCGTGGTTTCGTTGAGCCGCCGCTCAGTCGTGGTGCGAGCGCCCGTAGCCGCCGCCGCCGCTGCTGCTGCCGCCGCCACTGCCCCCGAAACGTCGGCGCTCAGAAAAGGCGCTCAGCTGCGAGTAAACGAACAACAACAAAAACAACAACACAGAGCAGTAGTCGTGGGTGCTCGCAGCGCAGTGTGCGCGTCACGATGTACGGCGAGTCCTCGCTTTGGCGTGCGGTGTTCACACTGCGACGCGTTTTGGCTCCAACGCGGTCCTTCTCATTCGGGAACATTTCTCGCACAACGCGCGCGCCGTTACAGCGCGGACAAACGACGCCCGTTCTTATAGCGCGGTATGCGGACCGTTATAACGCGGAATGCGTGTGCCGTTACAACGCAGTTTCTGAGCAGCCGACGACGGACTACTTTCTTGAGTTGTGCGGCTGACCGGTACGGGGATTCTAGGCACACGCACGGCATGACAAGGCACGCGACACGGTACGTGGCGGCGTACCCTCATCCCAGTTCTCTCCCGCTGGGGGAGGACGACAGGCTGACGTTGGAGTGTAAATGAGATTAAAGCTCGCATTGTTCTTATTTATTCATGCCCTGCAATGTAGATTGTCTGCGTCGATTCCTCGCTTAACGTGTTTTCGCTTGACGCGGCACGTTTCAGGAGAGCATCTACTGCATTAAATGAGGAATTACTGTTTGTGGATGACGATGATGCTTATGGCAAGGACGATCCTGTTGCACCTGCCGCTGCTGCTGATACAGCGATACCGATGACAATGCTGATGCTGTTGCTGATGATGACGCTGATGCCGACGATGCTATTGCTGCTGATGATCCTGATGATGACCATCAAAGTCGGGGTTTATTTTTTAACCAGGGTGAGAACTCATTGCACCAGGATGAGTCTCATTGGGTGACATTGATGATGCTGATAATCACGATGATGGATATGGCCGCTAATGCTGCTGATGCTGGTGGTGATTGGCAGCGATGCTGAAGGGAGTACAAGTGCTCTTCCTTGATTTGTATCGCGTGAATGTACAGTGCCTGCCTCATTGTTTATGTCTGCGCCTGCATTTTTTTGGGCCGGTCAGGAATGCCTGAATTCCACGCTCAGGTGCACTAAAGCCTCTTGAACTGAGAGAGGTGGTGGTGGTGGTGGGCGATCGGTGGTGGGGAGGGAGTGGAGGGATACGGTGGAGAGGGAGTGATGGTGGTGGCGGGGTTGGAACGAGGTCCAGCATGCGGCGCGTGAAGAGTCAACGGAATTCATCTTCTTGGTTCTTTCGGTAAATTCACGTAGAATGGAAATAATAAAATAATAAAAATAAAACATAATAAAATAATTCTCACGACGTTTTGGCCACAACGCAAGCAGCCGTCCTCAGGTGAAGAACAGGTCTGTCGAGAAGACAGTCTGAACTTCAGACTGTCTTCTCGACAGACCTATTGTTTGATTCTTATTATTTTATTATTATTTCCATTCTACGTGACTTTACCGAAAGAACCAAGAATATGAATCCCTGCCGTCACGAAAGCTTTAAATCGAAATTTAAACGTTAAAAGACGTTTAGACTTATTGCTTCAAAACACCAACACAAGTGTTTCTGCCCAACTCGAATGTGGGTCACGTGACCTTTTGGATCCGTGGGGGCAGCCGGCGGCAGGGTGGTGGGTGGATATCGACTCGGTGCGTTTGGCAGTCGCGCTGCCGCTCCCGGAGTGCCGAGCTCCGATCGCGCACGACGGCGCTGCGCCTCGCAGACTGCAGTGGCTTCGGCAGGTCACTCGGTGAGCGTGGCGCGGGCACGTGACGCGGGCACGTGGCGCGGGCACGCCGATGGGCGTCGCTCGTCGCCGCGGGATCTCTAGGGGCGTCCGCTCTGAGCGAAGCGTACGGCGCGGAGTTGTTCCAGGTTCAACTCGCCCGCGCCGAAGCGTCAACCGGGGGGGCGGGCAGGCGGCCGGCTGTCCGGCCTGCCGGGGTGGAACCGCGAAAACCCTCGGCAACAAGCGGCGAATGTGACGCCGCCGCTGGGCCGCGTCGTCGCCTGGCCCCCCCCCCCTTGGTGATGTTCGCCGCGAAATGAAAACTCCACCGGTTACACTTCTTTCGGAACAAATAAAACATTATATGTGGTTTTGAAAAGAATAAGATGAACAAACACAAGAGATTCTTATTGGGCGATGTTCTCGCCGTGATGTACGGTGGTTCAGAGTAATGTCTCCCCAGCACCCGGCACACCACATCCAGTAAACCTTTCGTCATATCTGTGGCTGCTGCTCCTTACGCACCACCTGCTCCAGGCGATGAGCAACACGGGAGAATATTCGGTGTGAAACAGCATTCCTGTTAGACGACATCTCTGCACATACCTGACTGACGCCCTCCTTGCAGAAATACCTCTTCTCAATCACCTGTTGGGAGAGATACGCACAAAGTGTGTGGGAGGCACTGTTAAGGCTGCGATGGCGATAAGAGGTGGTGAGACACGCGGGCAGGCTGTGATGTCCCGAACAAGACTCACTGAAGATTAATTGAGAGCCCATGCGAGTATAATCATCTCGATGCGAGTCTGTGGGTCTTTATACGAGTCTATGGGTCTCTGTGCGTCTGTGGGTCTCTGCCGTGCAATCCGTCACTCAAATAATTCGACTGTCACCCAGAGCACAGTGTGGCACGGAGTGTCTGCATGACCACGATTCGTATCCATGGCCCGGGTCCCCCTCCCTGGTTATAACCCTGTAGAGCCAGTTGTGGACATTCCACATTCCTTTGGTGGGTGGGGGCGAGTATCTCCGCAGGACAACAACTGCTGACTTCCTGGGAAGAACCGTACTCTTTTTTTATCGACCCCGGAGTGACGATGAACCGAGTTAACCCCCGAACAGGACTTGACATTGCAACCTTACCCCAAAGCGAGCTGCTTGCTCTGACGCCGAGCCAACCCTGCGGCCGGACAGAGTCGTGCACGTGTGTACGTTGAGCTTCTTTCGCGCCGTACGAAGCCAACCGTGCCAATCGGAGGTCGCGACAGAAGGTGCCAAACGATCCGTACCCCCCCCCCCCCGACACCCGGCGAGGGCACTGCGGCCTTCACCCCGGCGTCGCTCGTTTCGGCTTCGTTGCCCCCACCCCAGAGGTCGCAAACGGGTTTTGATTCCTTACCCGTACCCGTACCCGGCTGCACCAGGGTCGCAAATGGGTACCCGTACCCGGTCGGGTACGGGTACCCGTTCCCTACCCGAAATGAGTGACAAACGGTTACTCACCAGTGACTCACGGCCTACCCGTACCCGTACCCGGGTACGGGTAGCCGGGTATCGGGTAGGGTACGGGTATCGGGTACCCGGTTGCGACCTCTGCCCCACCGCCCCCCCCCCCACGTCGACTGTCGGCACGCAAATCACGCGAGAGAAACCACGAGAGAGCTTGATTACCGTTCCGAGCGCGGAACGGCGAGAGGCCGTCGCTGGGTGCGGCACGGGCACGCCGCGTGCCATCGCTGCCTCGGCCGACAAGGCCACATAAGCCCCGGGGGGTCTTGTTTATTGCCAAGTTGAGGCACGGACCCTTCCACGTAGCCAGTCTGTTTCCCTGGCGGGCGGGTCCTCAATGGTCGAACGTAGCTTTGGCTCGTAAATCGGGTCGTCTTGACGACAGTGATCGTGACCCCCACATGCGTACTGACCGTCGGACGGACGGACGGTGGGAGCAAGCGAACGCACGCACCAACACTTCCGATTGGGGCATTGCTCACCTTTTGGCGTCATCTGGTCCAACACCAATGGAGACTAGGCTCTAAGAAAAGCTGTCTCGGGTGTGGACCAATCACTTCAAGGACAGTGCATATCATTATCATCATCAGAGTTGTTTCTTTTTGTTTGCATTTTGACTGCTTGTGTTGTGGTTATTGCAAACATGATGCCTTGTATAAAGGTGTCAGTTTTTGTACCAGTTGAAAGGGTAAAAACCTACTACTACATTGCTCACCTTGTCGAAGAAGCGACTGAGCTTGACAGGCGTTGGAGGAGCCAGCGGCCAGATAGCGAGGGCTGGTGCAGTCCTGCAATGCGAGGGGGGGGGGGCGGCGGGGGGGGGGGCGGCAGGGGGGGGGCAGGCGAGGGAAGTGCAGGCAATGGGCGGCACGTGCATCGGATGTGAGATGGAGCACCGGCGTGGAGCCGCGTGGAGTGTTGTTACATGGACAGCTGGAGGCTCCACCTGGTGCTCTGCTTATGCGTGCGCTAAGCACTCCCCACCGTGTCCCAATTCTAAATCCACCACCTTCAAGATCGTTCGTGGGCTCATCCCTGGCTACCCCTCTCCTGTCCTCTCACTCTACTCCCCCCTCCTTGTCATCTGCTAACCTCTACAGCTCACATCTCACTCTACTCCCCCTCCACGCACTCTCCTACCTCTCCCCTCTCACCTCACTCCATTCCCCTCCACGCACTCACCTACACCTCTCATCTCACTCTACTCCCCTCCACGCACTCCCCTACCTCTCCCCTCTCATCTCACTCCACTCCCCTCCACGCACTCCCGTACCTCTCCCCTCTCACTTCACTCTACTCCCCTCCATGCACTCTCCTACCTCTCCCCTCTCACCTCACTCCATTCCCCTCCACGCACTCTCCTACCTCTCCCCTCTCATCTCACTCTACACCCCTCTATACACTCTCCAACCTCTCCCCTCTCATCTCACTCTACTCCCCTCTATACACTCCCCTACCTATCCCCTCTCATCTCACTCTACTCCCCTCTATACACTCCCCTACCTCTCCCCTCTCATCTCACTCCACTCCCCTTCACGCACTCTCCTACCTCTCCCCTCGCAATCTCACTCTACTCCCCTCCACGCACTCCCCTACCTCTCCCCTCTCACTTCACCCTACTCCTCCTCCATCACTCTGCGCCCCAGCAACCAAAGTTATCCGTTGAAGCCCGCAGTCAATCTCACTCAGTGGGAGAGACCCCTCATCTCCTCTGCTGCCCTCAGGGTCGAGAATTTCCTTCCTCCCAGGCGTCCACTTCTCCTCTGCCCTAGATCGACTGCCTCTCTCTATAACGTGCACACACGCACACGCGCACACACGCACGCACGCACGCACACGTGCGCGCGCAGTTCCTGTACAGCATTTTGAGATGTGGTTGCATTTAGACGCCGTTACAGAAATCCACACTGTGTGGTGGCGAGTGAACCCCATGCGAGCTGGCGCTACACGTTGCTGCTACACGCCGCCACAGTGATATTTGAACTGCGCGTGGCTTGAATGGCTTCCCTCGAACGTGATTGCTACGTCGGTGTCTGCGATGTCCCTTTTTATTTCTCTCACCAGGGTCCCCCGCGGGCCGTTCCCGTGAGCCAGCTTTCGCACGGCTCATGCCTCTTTACCCGCGGCCAACGGACACAATCGAGTTATCGTGCATCTCGCATCGCAGTCATCTGGACGTTCCCGAGCCGAATACTTGCAAGCTGTGTCACAGCACATGCCATGTATGTGGTGGGGGGGGGGGGGGGGGGGGGAAGTTATTAGTGTCACATGACACGGGCATCCGCGCAGCCAAATGAACCTCCTCCCCCGAGGTGAAATAACCGACCGGTTTTTCACGAATGCTCCTGAGAGCACGATGAAAGCTTCCTTGTTCAAAAGCACAACGCTCAAAGATTAATTGCCAGAAGGAACGCGGAAGAGAGATCCGCGGGGCATCGTGGCGCTTGCTTGAATGCCCCGACATCCAAAAGCACTGTGGCCCATCTCCCCTCGATCGTTCCAATAGCCGACGGGCATTCATTTATCCACCGGCCCACGGCCTTGAAGCGGTGGATTCTGGAGACTATCGGTGGGTTCTGGCGGACACCGACAGGTAACGGTGGATATCGGCGCGTTTCAGCGGATATCAGAATATTTATTCATACTGCAAATTTGCGCGCATTACAAATTGAACTATTATTATTACTGGAGGAATGCGATGAGCTGTACAGCTTTTCACAGGTGTGCAGTAGTTTTGACAGGTGTCCTGTAGATATCTGCAACCACCGGTGGGTTACCGGCGGGTTCCAGTGGGTAAAGTGGGGCCTAGCGAGTAGTGGCAGCCATTAGTGGGTACAGACGAGTACATTGGGGGACCGGCGGGTACCGCCGGGTTCCAACTCACCAGGTGGATCTCCTCGGCGCTGAGGTCCTCGGCCAGGAAGGAGACGCGGGAGAGCACCTGGGCGCGCTTGCTCTCCGCCACCTGGTCCAGCTTGGTGCCGATAACGAGAAGCGGCACCTGGGACTCGGCAAACTGCTCGCGGTCAAAGCAGTCCCTGCGCGGCACACAGCGCCGTGGCGTTAGCGCGTGGGAGATGACACGCGGGAGATGACACGCGGGACATAGCATGGAAGGGGGACAGCACGTGGGCTACACCGTAGAGGAGAATAGAGAGGGGAGCCTCTAACACTCAAGGGCTATAATACATGGGAGATAACAGATGGGGCGAAAACACTGAATGGATCACACACAGGGGATAGCAAATGGATACTAACACATGGGTACGAATGTACGGACACTAACGTACGGGTACTATAGTAATAATACACGGGCGAAAACACTGAATGGATCACACACAGGGGATAGCAAATGGATACTAATGCATGGGTACGAATGTACGGCAACTAACGTACGGACACTAACGTACGGGTACTATAGTAAGGGTACGAGCACAAAGGCAGGATAAAGCTAAGGCCATTGTACGCGCAGTGTGGTGGTCATGTGTCACACACGCATGGTGTGATTGGTCGTCGGGCCTTGCTGCCGTTCGTGAGCAGCGCACCTCTGCGTGTAGCTGCGTCTAGGAACACAAGCGGTGTGGCAACACAACACTGTCGCTCGGGGTGACGACTTACGGGCTGCCAACACAAGAGACGCACGCACAACCGTAACTACGTCCACACATTAGTAAAGCACCCGAAGTGGAAGATATTTACATGTGGAAGATATTTACACAGCTGTGGAGGGGAGGGGGGGAAGGCGGTTTGTTTGAAAAGTTGATCCGGTTGCACAACATCCTGCAACTGAAGGACGTTTGTTTGGCCAAGTTATGATAACTTTTCTTTTCCAAAAGGCAATACCTACTACATTGGCCATGACCTAAATCACCTGGAATGCGCCCCGATTCTTGTCAGTTCTCAGTACGCCAAGAATGCTTGAGCCTGCATAGCGCTCAAGAGTTCATTACTCCTCATTCTTTGGGTCTTTTGGTAAAGTCACGTAGATAGGTTCAAAGAAAATAACAAAATAATGTTTCGTTCGCAACACAAGCGGTCATCAGGACGACCGCTTGCGTTGCGATCGAAAAGTCTTACTTATTTCCCTCATTAAAATGCAAATCAATTCATAACATTTTTGACATGCGTTTTTCTGGATTTTGTTGTTATTCTTTCTCTCACTGTTAAAATAAACCTACCATTAAAATTATAGACTGATCAAATCTTTGTCAGTGGGCAAACGTGCAAACTTCAGCAGGGGATCAAATACTTCTTTCCCTCACTGTATCTACGTGACTTTACCGAAGGACCCAAAGAATATGAATTCCTGCAGTCACGAAAGCTTTAGGTCAAGTTCATTCCTTTTTTCGCACAGCACTTGTGAAAAGCCGCCAGCAAAACATTCCGAACTCTCTCGTGTGTCGAGTCCGGCACGAGGAACTCCGTCGTATTCGACGCTGCCGATAATAAATGAAACTTGAAACTTGCCGCGCGTTGTCCCCAACGAGGTTTCGCGACCGCGAGGCCGTTTCCTTCTCCGCAGGCCCGAAGGCTGCTCGTTCCTGGCTCGATCGGTCGGCCGGTCGGCCACTCCGGCTAATTGCGTGCGTTTGGCGACCAGCCGGCAAAACAGGTGCCGAGAGGCTGGCAGGCCCCCGCCCAGGGTAGCCGAGCGTCGCCGAGAGCGGCGCGGCTCCATCGCAACCATGAGCGGAGGGTTGTGACACAGGTTGGAGTTGGGGGGGTGGGGGGGTGATGCTGTCGTGACGATGCTGTACAACGGCTTGGCCCCCCGCTGTCTCTACCACCAACGGGTTTGGTGATATGGCACCACGAATGCCAAGAGAGATCCGAGCGAGATTCATCCTGACCGGCGACACGCTTAGACGTTGAGTTTTTTCCCCCACGTGTGGCGATTCATTATCGGCGGCCACTGTGATCAATCCACTGCTGGATGAAGCCCTCCCTAAGCAGCCGCCATCTCTCGCGGCCACGCGATGCAACGATGCACTGTGCACCTGCACACGAGTCGATTTCATCACTCCGTCTTCCGGGTGCATGTTCTCTCGCATGTGTTCCATTCTTTGGCTGCCAAAGGAATGAATCCAATCGTGGCACCTTTAAAGGTTAGATTACTCAGGGTTACATATGGTGGGTTTTTTTATGGTAGAGTAGACTAATTGTGAAGTTGTTTAGTGGTGGCTAGGGCAAGCCTGTAATCCAGCACTTTGGAGAGAAAGGATTTGTAAAACTCCCAGAAAAGAAAATGGATTATTGAATCCATCTGTGCAGGCTTTTGAATTTTTCCTGCTCTCATCCACACTGCGTTTAACACCACACTTGCAGGGCACAACAATGCAGTCGCGTACTTACACACCTCTTCACTCACTCACTCACCCTCTCAACTCACCCACCCACTCACTCACCACACTGCAGGTCACCTCACCTCTCCCTCTCGTTTGCCCGCCCTCCCCCAAGCTCTTACAGTAACCTTGCTCTTACAACTTTGATACGGGTGCTGTTTGTTGCTGGTTGCTTTGTGTTTTGCGCCTGTCCTCCGTAGTAATATATATGAATATGTGTGATGGGTTGCCTCTGGGTTCCGCCCAGTTTCCTCCCACGCGAAGCTAAACTCTCATCGCCCGTGTAATTCATAACCAAACATATCAATGTAACATGAGCCTGCAGATAAAGAGTCCTGAGACTCGGGGAGACTTTCCTGAATTGCTATCATTATCATAATTAAAATACCATTTCAGAGACCAAATAGACACCTTATATTGTATTTACTCAATGCCTGCGAGGACAATGGGATCCCGCTGGTGCCAGTGGTGCCATGACAGCCGGTTGGATAAAACCTGCGCCAGAGTCTAGAGCAGGGCTGGGGAACGTCCAAATGTAACAGGCTAATTTTTAAGTTGATAATTTTGTATGGCCCGCGAATGATGTTATAAATATCCAAATGGCCCTTGGCAGAAAAAAGGTTCCCCGCCCCTGGTCCAGAGGATTAAAGAGCAAACAAAGGAGACACTTAGAAGGGAAATAACTACACCGAAAGAACCAAGAATATGAATCCCTGCAGTCACGAAAGCTTTAAATCGAAATTTAAACCGAGACACTCTACCAGGTTGCTCAAGGTGAGAAAAGAGCCACCCAGCCATGATTATACTGGGTCCAACATTCCGACCAAATAACCTGAGAAAAAATACAAAAAAGAGAAATGCGTGCACGCAGACAAAAATAAAAAGACCCCCAATAGCCGTGCTGCTGGCGCAAGTGCCGTTAGCGAGCGCCTATTAAGGCCGCCGCTGCACACGAGTGGGTGGGGGGGCCAACACCATGCCAGTCTGTCTTTGCCTCCTCGATGCTGATGTTTACACACTGCACCAGGTACTCGTTTAGGGCTGAGTCAACCCTGGGTTAAGCCTGGGACCGGTTGGGATATTCGACGCCGATGTTGGCTGTGTGTGGGGAAGTTGAACTCGGGTCGCCGAGTTTGTAGTGCAGCAGGTTAACAGCCATGTCACCGCTCCCACACACACACACGTCCAAGCAGACACAGAGAGATCCCCTATATAGCCTTAACAGACTGTAGGGGCAAGTGCTGTTAGCGAGCATCTATGAAGGCCGGAACGGCACACGAGGGGGTGGGTGGCCAGCACCACGCCCGACCGCCTTTGTCTCCCCAGTGGCGATGTTTACACACCGCACAAGGTACTCATTTGAGGCTGAGTCGACCTAGGGGAGGCCCAGAACTGGTGTTTGCCATGAGCGGGAATCGAACCCGGGTCGCCAGGTTTGTAGCGCAGCGCGTTAACCGCTACACTGCCGCTCCCCAAGCAGACACACACACCCGCACGCACGCACACATGCACGCACACATGCACGCACACATGCACGCACACACGCACACATGCACGCACACACGCACGCACACACGCACACACGCACACATGCACGCACACACGCACGCACACACGCACGCACGCACACACGCACGCACACACGCACGCACACACGCACACACGCACGCACACACGCACGCACGCACACACGCACGCACCCGTTGGAGACGAGGACAGCGGTAGGCGTGGATTCTCGAGTGAGCGCCTCCAGGAGCCAGCGGTGCAGGTTCTGCAGCGACTTCTTGTTGGTGAGATCGTGCACCAGGATGATGCCTGCGGGTCGGACAAGATCACTTCAACACCCGCCGAGACAGCCACACGGGCGGGGGACACAATGTTCCGCGGAAGGCAACAAGCAGAGCAACGTGCCCTCAGGGGGAGGACGTTTAAATTCCACACAGAAGGGTGCCTGAGTCAAGCAGAAAATCGTACCCATGTCTTCTTGCTGTGGCATTAAGTGAAAAATATAGAAATATATAGATATGTAAAATGGGCGACATTTCAGGTAATGACCCTTCTTCAGAGCAAATGACCCTGCTGAATGCGCGTGCGTGTGTCTGGAGCGTCTGGCGCGTGTGGCGCGTGCGTGGGTGGCACCGTTGGAGGAGCTGTAGAAGTTGGAGCGGGCGCTCTTGATGCTGCTGGCGCTGCCCACGGAGCCGCCGACGTCCCAGAGCTCCACGTGGAACGTCTTCTCGGCCGGCGTGCCCTCCTTGTAGTCGTGCAGCTGTGCGTGTGTGAATGCATGAGTGCGTGCAGACAGGCAGGCACAGCGATCGTCGATTTAATAACGATGTCAACTCGTAACGTGCTGCCGCCGCCGCACGACGTTCGCTCGCTCTCTCGAAGGTAAAGAGACAGAAGACGACTCAGAGGCGCGAGGAGGAACCGCAGACACGGGCGGGGAGGCAGCAGCCATGCGGCGAGCTGGTGCTACCAACAACTGCCCAAGCTCTGCAGTCCTCTATTAAGGTGTTTTCAGCCGATTCTTGATTGTTTACACATGCTGGAGGAAACCGGAGTACCCGGAGCGAACCCACACGTGCAATGCGAGGGAGCAACATTGTGTCCTGTCCAGATGGAAAAGGTGGCATAGGTGATGTGAGCTGCAGGTGATGTGAGCTGGTGATGTGAGCTGTAGGTGATGTGAGCTGTAGGTGATGTGAGCTGATGATGTGAGCTGTAGGTGATGTGAGCTGGTGATGGTGATGTAAGCTTTAGGTGATGTGAGCTGGAGATGATGTGAGCTGTAGGTGATGTGAGCTGGTGATGGTGATGTGAGCTGGTGATGATGTGAGCTATAGGTGATGTGAGCTGATGATGGTGATGTGCGCTGGTGATGATGTGAGCTATAGGTAATGTGAGCTGGTGATGATGTGAGCTATAGGTGATGTGTGCTGGTGATGAGAGCTGTAGGTGCCATAAGCTGTCGGTGCTCAGGGCTAATGTACGGTGATGTGAGCTGGTGTACAAAGCCATATGGGAACTTGGAAAGCGGTACAGAGGAGGAGGTCAAGTGACGTATATGGCGTGTCGGTCGGTAGAAGATTGATGGAAGGTTGGTGGAGATAATCACCCTCACGTCCACCGAGCAGCCCACGGTCCAGGAGGGGTTCCCGAGAATTCGGTTCTGGCAGAGCAGATGAACCAGCGATGACTTCCCAACGCCTGCGTGTGTAAAAAATGCACAGAAAACCACGCGCGAGTCATGAGCGGCAATATCAGCTGGGGCGCAGGAGCTAATACTTTGAAGGAAATCCACGATTTAATCCAGATTGTGCTATCGGCGGGCTATTGGCGTCACGTCACTGGGCGGCTTAAAATCCATTTGGACGACTCGCAGAGCAGTGCGACCCTTCGCATCTGGGAACAGCGCATGGAAAGCGGGTATTTACAGAGGCTTTAATTGACCTCTGACCCACACAGTAGAGGGCAGCACTTATCACTCGCGACGCCTTCCCACGGTCGCTAGGAATCATTCAAGAAGTAATTGTGTTCGGGCAACACACTTCATGGCTGAACGAGATGATGGGCGGCAGTCGAGACTCATGACCGAGTCGCAGCCAAACGGGAGAACATGCCCAAGAGCACGTCCACCTCCGATATGGAGCGATGGAAGCCGGCTCATGTGCAGGAGCTAGACCAGTGTTCTTCACTAATTTTCAGAGGGGGCCACTTTCGCCGATAAGACATCAGTGTGAGGGCCACTACACTGCCTGCAAGAGTTTTTGTTCTTCACATGCTGTGTATTAAATTTCGATTTAAAGCTTTCGTGACTGCAGGGATTCATCTTCTTGGCTCTTTCGGTAAAGTCACGTAGAATGGAAATAATAACATAATAAAAATAAAACATAATAGACCTGTTCTTCACCTGAGGACGGCTGCTGGTGTTGTGGCCGAAACGTCGTGAGAATTATTTAATGTTTATTTTTATTATTTTATTATTTCCATTCTACGTGACTTTACCGAAAGAACCAAGCAGATGTTGTGTATTGTAGGGGGCCGCATGTCAGGGGCCGCACTAGAGGCCACCAGGGGCCGCCAGTGGCCTCGGTAAGCGAATCAGGAGACGCCTTGAAAGGATCGCGTCCCGCAGTGGTCTTCCTGCTGATCGAGTTGCCTACAGAGCTGCCTGCAGGAAGACTAACGAAATTATCCCCCATGCCTCACGTTCCTCCTACATTGAAGAACGCATCAAAACAGCTACCGGAAAACCACGCATCCTTTGGAACAACCCTCAAGGATCTTCTACATCCTGGTCGCACCATGGTCCATCACCTTAGCGATCCCCTGGCCTCACTGAAACTTGCCACTTCTTTCAAAACTTACTTCACCAACAAGCTGATCACCATCGCAAACTCCTGCACGTCTTTCCTCACATCGCACCATCGTACCCCGCTCTCGTTTTCTGAAATTGTAAGCACTCGCCCACACACCTTTCTAACCACGTTCAAGCCGGCGTCTTCAAAAGACGTTTTCTCTTTGATTCAATCACTTCACATGAAGTCATCTCCACTCGACGTCCTCCCAGGTCCCTTGTTCAAGCAATGTGCTACCGAGAACTCGCCATCATGATCAGGAACATCGCAAATGCCTCATTCTCCACAGAAACAGCACTCACTAGAGTGCTCGATGACATTTTAATGATTATTGACTTCGGCTCCATCGTTGCACTTGTAAGTCTGGACATTTCATCAGCCTTTGAACACCGTCAACCACTCGCTCCTTACTTCCCTTCCTGAAATCCGACTTCGGTATATGTGGCTCAGCACTCAAGTGGATACTGTTGTACCTTTCTGATCGGCAATCCTCAGTCAGGGTGGGCTTGTCCAACTCTCCTGAAACAAAAGTGTTATGTGGCGTCCCCCAAGGCTCCGTCCTCGGTCCCCTACTGTTCACAGCCTACACTTCCCCAATCGGCCGCCTCATCGCAAGCTTCGGTGTTAAGCACCACTCATATGCGGACGACACTATTCTGATCACTGCCATCATATCTACCAATGCGTCTGGATTTGAGAGGCTTTCAGAATGCACTTCTGCCTTGCAACAGTGGTTCTCTGCACACAACCTTGCTCTTAATCCGTCAAAGTCAGTGGCCATCATGTTAGATACCAGGCAACGTTTCAAGATATCCACGCTCCCAACACACATACACATATTTGGTGACAGCATCAGGTTCACCGATCTCTTCAACTACCTCGGTGTCATCCTAGATTCAACTTTATCCTTTGACTGTCAAACCAATCATATCACCAGTTCATGTAACTTTCACCTGAAGGCTCTCACACACCTACGTCATCTCATCTCCACTGAAACTGCCAACACATTGGCATGTTGCATAGTTGGGTCTCGCCTCGACTATTGCAACTCCGTCCTAGTCCAGTCCTCCTCTGGCAACCTCAAAAAACTTCCAAGACTACAAAGAAACCTGGCACGCGTCGCCATTGGCCGCACTCATCCCCGTCTCGACTCACTCGCCTGTCTCCGTGCCCTCCACTGGCTACCCATCGCCAGCAGGGTCACATACAAGATCGCCTGCCTCTGCCACCACGCCTTCACATCTGCCTGCCTCTCTTCATTATTGACGACTTGCAGCACAGCACACGGCAGATGCCTGCACAGTGCAACTCACGACCTCCTCTCGATACCAAGGTCCAGGATGGTCACGTTGATGCGCTGCTTCTCGGTGGCTGCCCCAACAGTCTGGAACGCTGTCCCTCTGTCCCTCTGCACATTCGCAGCATAACCTCAATCGTCTCCTTCAAGAGACACTTACTAACTCACCTCTACAACCCAAGGCCGTAATTATAATATATTGGGGGGGGGGACACATCTGCCCCAATATTCAAATATGCTCAAAATGTCCCTCCCAATATATTGCTATAAAACAGATTTCTGTTTATATGATTGTGGTTATGATTGTACTTTATTAATCCCTAATCTCTGCCATTACATAAAATGAAACAAGAAAATGTAAAAAAGTAAAAACATAGCAATGTAATACAAGACACTATTAGACATTATTGTAAAAAATAAATAAAAAGTCCATTTCATGTGTTAGTGAAGTTTTTATATATTTTAGGCAGAAAATTCGTTTTAAAATTTCGATTTTTTTTTTCTGGGGGGGAGACCCCCAGATCCTCTGGCAGATTTGGTCCCCCCCAATGTTGACATCATATGCTACGGCCTTGCTACAACCTGACTTTCGAGTGACCTGAGCTTGGCTCCGCGCCTCTAAGTTGCGGCCGGTTACGTCCGCAAATTTGCGCGCGTTATAAATTGCATTATTATTATAAACCCACTACGGATCCATAGAATCAGAGACCCATATATACCCACAAGGACCCATAGACTCACAGAGACCCATATAAACCCACACGGACCCATAGAATCAGAGACCCATATATACCCATATAGACACACAGACTCACAGAGGCCCATATATACCCACACAGACACATAGACTCACAGATAACGTATATACCCACAAGGACCCATAGACTCACACAGACCCATATAAACCCACAAGGACCCATAGACTCACAGAGACCCATATAAAGCCACACGGACCCACAAACTCACAGAGACCCATATATACCCACACAGGCACACAGACTCACAGAGGCCCATATATAACCACACAGACACATAGACTCACAGATAACGTATATATCCACAAGGACCCATAGACTCACAGAGACCCATATAAACCCACACGGACCCATAGACTCACAGAGACCCATATATACCCACACAGACACGCAGACTCACAGAGGCCCATATATACCCACACAGACATAGACCCATATACACCAACACAGACCCATAGACTCACATAGAAACACATATACACTAACACATACCCATAGACTCACACAGACACACATATACATCCACACGGACCCATAGACTCACACAGACACACATATACACCCACACGGACCCCTAGACTCACACAGAGACACATATACACCCACACGGACCCATATACGTACAGAGACCTATATACACCAACACAGACCCATAGACCCACATAGAGACCCATATACACTCACACAGACCCATAGACTCACATAGAGACCCAAACACTCAATGGATTCTTTACAGCACGTAACCAGAGTGCGTAGTAGCGAGTAATCCGATGCCGTGTTAAAAGAGTAAACATATTAAAGTGTAATGAGATCTCACAATCAAGTAAAATCGTCGTTTGTATCCATCTCAGCCTCGGCGGGGCCCAAGTCCGGCCACGTAAACGCCACTCGAGGTGGGGAGCGGTGGCGCAGTGGTTAGCGCACTGCACCGTGAAACCCGTCCACCCCGAGTTTATTCCCCCGGTCACGGCTGACATCAGTGGCGAGGGATATCTCAACATTCTCCCTTGGGTCTCCCCCACAACCATCACCGCACCAGCTTAGCCGACTCGAACTTATTAGAGGCATTGGGCGAAAGAATGGTTATTCCCAGACACCGACTCGGTGTCGGTGGGTGGCCTTCATCCAGCAGTGGATTGACAAGGGGGCTGCCGTGCACAGCGCGTTACGTTGTTACACCGGGTTACGTTCAACTTGTAAACTAACAACGAAGGGACAGAGACAGAGAGAGAGGGGGGGGAGAGCGAGAGAGAGAAAAACAGTGCGAGGGCTTTTAGGCCTCGATCGCCACCAGGGGCTGGACTAGCGAGCCCTACCGAGCCGGGCTGCCCTTCCCGGGCAGCGCTGCGCGGTCTCACCCCCCCCCCCCGCTACCACGGGGATCCCGTTTCGTCGGCGTACAGACGGCCAACATCGTTCGCTGTGTGCTGCGATCGTCGAGTTTACGTGTTTAATTGTGAGGAGGTTGTGGGGGTGTCGTCGAGGTTGAGGAAAGTGTCGGGCGAGGTTGTTTGGAGGCAGAGGGAAGAGGTTGGTGGTGGTGGTGGTGGCGAACGAGGAGGTAGTGGAGGAGAAATGGAGGTTGTTGTTGTTGGTGGTGGTGGAGACTGTTGAAGAGATGGTGGAACCAAGTGGTGGAAGATGATGAGGTGGTGAGGGTGGTGGAGGTGGTGGTGACGAAGTAGAAAAACGAGACGGGTGCAGCTCACGCCAAGAGAACTAAGGATGTAGTTGTGGAGGTCGACACCGTCGATGAAGATGGAGGAGGAGGATGAGGAGGCACAAGAAGATGATGATGAACGAGGTGGTTACCTGAGTCTCCCAGCACCAGGACCTTCACCCTGTCCAGCGCAGCCATCGCAGTGAGGCCGAGCGACAGGGCGGCCCCTAGCGGCCTCCCCACGGTCACTGCAACCAGAGCCGCAGACTCCGCAGGCCTCCGGTTCGAGCTCCAAACTGCGTCGTCAGTCACCAACGTTTGGAACACCGTCTTCTTGTTCTCACGTTGTGCCGCTGGACGGGAGGTCACGGCACGCTCGTTACCCTCAACTGTGCATTCACCGCCTTCACACACACTAACCAATTCTCACCACACACACACCAACCCTCACCACACACACACACCAACCCTCACCACACACACACCAACACTCACCACACACACACCAACACTCACCACACACACACCAACTCTCACACCACACACACACCCTCACCACACACACCAACCCCCACCACACACACACACACCAACCCTCACCACACACACACACACACCAACACTCACCACATACACACACCAACCCTCACCACACACACACCAACTCTCACTACACGCACACCAACTCTCACCACACACACACCAACTCTCACCACACACACACCAACCCTCACCACAGACACACCCTCACCACACACACACACACCAACCCTTACCACACACACAAACCAACCCTTACCACACACACACCAACCCTCACCACACACACACACACCCTCACCACACACACACACCAACCCTCACCACACACACACACCAACCCTCACCACACACACACCAACCCTCACCCCACACACACACCAACACTCACCACACACACACACCAACTCTCACCACACACACACCAACCCTCTCTACACACACACCCTCACCACACACACACCAACTCTCACCACACACACACCAACTCTCACCACACACACACCAACTCTCACCACACACACACCAACTCTCACCACACACACACCAACTCTCACCACATACACACCAACTCTCACCACACACACACACACCCTCACCACACACACACACCAACTCTCACCACACACACACTAACTCTCACCACACACACACCAACTCTCACCACACACACACCAACCCTCACCACACACACACCAACCCTCACCACACGCACCAACCCTCACCACACACACACACCAACCCCCACCACACACACACACCAATCCTCACCACACACACACCCTCACCACACACACCAACCCTCACCACACACACACCAACCCTCACCACACACACCCTCACCCCACACACCCCAACCCTCACCACACACCCACCAACCCTCACCACACGCACCAACCCTCACCACACCCACCAACCCTCACCACACGCCCCAACCCTCACCATACACACACCAATCCTCACCACACACACACCAACCCTCACCACACACACACCAACCCTAACCACACGCACCAATCCTCACCACACACACACCAACCCTCACCACACACACACCAACCCTCACCACACACCCACCAACACTCACCACACACACACACCAACCCTCCCCACACACACACCAACCCTCACCACACACACACCAACCCTCACCACACACACACCAACCCTCACCACACACACACCAACACTCACCACACACACCAACCCTAACCACACACACACCAACCCTCACCACACACACACCAACCCTCACCACACACACACCAACTCTCACCACACACACACCAACACTCACCACACACACCAACCCTAACCACACACACACCAACCCTCACCACACACACACCAACACTCACCACACACACCAACTCTCACCACACACACACACCAACCCTTACCACACACACACCAACCCTAACCACACACACACCAACCCTTACCACACACACACCAACCCTCACCACACACACACCAACCCTCACCACACACACACCAACCCTCACCACACACACACCAACTCTCACCACACACACCAACTCTCACCACACACACACCAACCCTCACCACACACACACCAACCCTAACCCCACACACACCACCCCTCACCACACGAACCAACCCTCACCACACACACACACACACCAACCCTCACCACACACACACACCAACCCTCACCACACACACACATCAACCCTCACCACACACACACATCAACCCTCACCACACACGCACACACCAACCCTCACCACACGCACCAACCCTCACAACACACACACCAACCCTCACCACACACACTCTCACCCCACACACCCCAACCCTCACCACACACACACACCCTCACCACACACACACCAACTCTCACCACACACACACCATCACCACACACACACCCTCACCACACACACCCCAACCCTCACCACACACACACCAACCCTCACCACACACACACCAACCCTCACCACACACACCCTCACCCCACACACCCCAACCCTCACCACACACACACACCCTCACCACACACACACCAACTCTCACCACACACACACCCTCACCACACACACACCCTCACCACACACACCCCAACCCTCACCACACACACACCAACCCTCACCACACACCAACCCTCACCACACACGCACACACCAACCCTCACCACACACACCAACCCTCACCACACACACACCAACCCTCACAACACACACACCAACCCTCACCACACACCCCAACCCTCACCACACACCCCAACCCTCACCACACACACACCAACCCTCACCACACACCAACCCTCACCACACACACACACCAACCCTCACCACACACGCACACACCAACCCTAACCACACGCACCAACCCTCACAACACACACACCAACCCTCACCACACACACACCCTCACCACACACACACCAACTCTCACCACACACACACCATCACCACACACACACCCTCACCACACACACCCCAACCCTCACCACACACACACCAACCTTCACCACACACCAACCCTCACCACACACACACACCAACCCTCACCACACACACACACCAACCCTCACCACACACACACACCAACCCTCACCACACACCACCCCTCACCACACACACACCAACCCTCACAACGCGCACAAACTGCCATTCGCCACTAAGTAGCAGTGACGTCACCACGGCGCCTGTGCCAGGCTAGGTGCACTTTGAGTCTAAGTGAGGTGTCGAAGGTTCGCCGGCAGAAGGTCGACCGACTGAGATCACTGGCCGATGCACCACCACCTGGTGCCCCCTACTACTGCTGCGTTTTATCCGCCCGGCGCTCCCGCTCGTTGTTGTGAGCGTCGCTCCTCTGCCCTGTATTATACCGGGGACGCACGCACACACACATAAGCAGGCAAGGCTCGCCTCAGTGTCTCCACGCACTTTTATTCCTCCGCGCATCTCAGTTACAGACGAAACCATCGCCCCAGACCTAAGGGCTTTCCGGGTTCAATCCCGACGCGGTTCTGTGGAGGTTGGAGGAATATTTAACGGGGGACACACGAGGCAAGGGGACTGTGGGTGAACGTGGGAGCACGGGTGAGGGGGACAGGTGAGGGGGACAGGTGTGGAGAGAGAGAGGAGGGGATATGGGGGGGGGGGACACTCAACAAAATGGGAGCAGCAGCGAGGGGAGAAGCAATGTCCGTTTCACCCCTGCTCCCTGAACCTTTGCATCTCTTTGACCCCCATGTCTCCTGTGAGTGAGCCAGAGTCGCCCCCCGTTCTAGGCTCTCATCTCACCTGGATGATCGCATCGGGAGGCGATGATGGGCGAGAGGAGGCGAGCATGAGAGAGAGAGAGAGAGATGGAGAACGGTAGGATAGAGGGGGGTGTTGATAGAGGGGGGTGGACAGAGGGGGATATGAACGAGGAGAGGATGGGAGAGACGGGGGCTGGGCTGGAGATGCGGGTACAGCAGCGACGTAGCGAGCTTGCTACGTGCCATGGTGCAATGATTGATTTGCCCTCCACCCCTCTCCAATCCCCCCCCCTTCCTCTTTGTAACTTGGAACCCATCCGGCCCAGTGGGCTGATGCACACTCGATGCCTATACCCCAGTGGGGTGCAAGGAAGGAGGGAGCCGGGGTAATGGAAGGGGGAGTCGAGAGGAGATAGGGAACAGGGAGGGAGAGCGAGAGAGATGAAGGCTGGAGAGAGGGTGACGAGGTTGAGTTGGGAAGAAGAGAGGGGTGAGAGACGCGGGAGAGTGAGCGAGCGAGGAGGGAAACAAAGCAATGGGTGATTGGGGGAGGAGATGAGCGGGCAGAGAGCGAGGGGGAGTGGTGGATAGGGATATTTGAAGAGCGACCAGAGAAAGGAGACGGGCGCGCGAGATTATATATGTATCTGGGATTTGGTCAGCAGAGATATCGGGGTGGCAAGACACAGGGGGAGGGGGGGGAGATCTTAAGAGATCGAGAGATAAAAGATGTGGAGGACAACGACAGAGAAAGATAGACGGAGATGCTCTTGGCGTCTCTTCTAACAACAGCACAGTACAAAAAAAATGACGCCTCGACAGGGGAGTGGAGGGCGAGAGTGAAGCGTAACCGGCATCATCATCATCGTCGTCAATGTTATTATTATTTCTCAATAGTTATTACTGTAGACCGCGTCTCTTTGCCCAATGCGTTATGTACATCGCACTGAAAGGTAGCGCGCGATTTCGTGACGGCTTAAATACCACGGGAGGACCTGGCAAAATACAGCGCACGGCGAGAACGAGCAGAGCAGCAGCAGCATCATCATCATCCCCCTGTATAATACAGCGCCGACAAGCCGGGCTCGGACCTAAATCGGCCTCTCACTTCTCCTCCTCGGCCGTGGCCCACAAACTCCCGAAATAAATTGCAACTCAGGTGAGCTATTCCGAGGACGTTAACCGAGCAGCGGATCCGCCGGGGAGATTCGCATCGCAAATCGCCTCTCACCCGGTGAGCAAAGTGAGCCATCGGCGGCGGTGGCAAGCAGCGGAAGATGTAAGAGTGGTTGTGTGAGCAGATGTGGTGGGGTCTGGGGGGCCCGTCACGTTGGGCTCGTGCCGGAGTGAGATATTTGGATAACGATGACATCATAGGGTGGACCACGTGGCACCGTAGTCGAAATGTTGACCACGTGGCCCCAAAGTCTACGCGCGGACCACGTGGCACCAAAGTCTACACGCGGACCACGTGGCCCCAAAGTCTACACGCGGACCACGTGGCTTGGTAGCCTTCACGCACACCACGCGACTTGGTAGTCTACACACGCACCACCCGAGTCTTTTTTGAAGAGGATGGCGGAGCAGGGATTACAGATATGTGGGTGTGTGCGCCGCCTGCCACGGCTCCCCATACACGGGCAGCCGCCGCTGGTGAAGTATGCAGCGGGGCTTAATTTCAGCAGGAGCCGTCCGGGGCTGAGCTCCGAAAAATATTCCATGAGAAATTAGGCTCCTGTACAGAGACAATATATTAACACTGGTATGAGGGAGGGAGGGAGGGGGGGGCAAAAGCCAGGTTTGACGGGTCGGTGTGTATTTGTGCTTGGACCCCTACAAACAGGGGACTGAACAGGGTACCCCCCCCATGTACCCTCCCACCACCTCCTCCATTCTCAATGGCTTTGGGCCAGACATCCCCAATTCGTTTAGGGTGTGCGGAATGGCACCGCTTCAACCCTGCAGCCGCTGGAGGGCGCTATATTCACCACGATGTAAAAAAAACCCATAGACATCCTTGAATCAAATTATTGGGGAATGTAATCAAATCGCTGGCAAGGGTTGATGGACGCATCCAATAAGTTAAAGTGGATGGATATCCCCTGTACATGTTTTTGATGGAGATGTGTGTGGGGGGGGGGGGATGAGTTTCAGGGGTCCCGAAAGGAGGTTCCGTCAAGACGGGGGGGGGGGAGTGGGTAACTGTGTCAGACCCAGGAATCGAACCAGGTTGTCAAGCCGAGCGGCTTTGATGGCGCAGCCCTGGAGCCTGGCCACGTGGCGCGAACACAATCAGCGCGCTTGGGGATAAAAGCGCAGGCCTGCAATGGGGCCCCGCTCACGTCACTGCTGGCGGATGCGCCTCCGCGAGGAGCTCTGCAGACAGCCCTCTCTCTCTCGAGGGTAATTGGCCTACTCTTCCACGCTATACATACGTACATAGAGCGAAACCTTGACTTAGTGGGGAATCCATTGCGGTGAATCTTCTATACAACATGCAATTGTTTTTATTATGACCGCCCTACCCCCCATCGTTTGTATCCTTGAAAGTTTAAATTTGTTACATGTACCGTTATTTATTTTTCACGCGTTTTAATTTCTATACATATATTGTCGCCCCCCCACCTTTTCATCTCGCCTGTCGCCAATGCATCACGATCGTCGCAATAATATTGCACTCAAAGCAGTGGAGTGACACGCGTGGGTGGGTGGCGGGGCGGGGGAGAGCTCAGCACCTCTTCAGAGTGATGATGGTTAAACGATGACGGTGGTGGGGGTAGTAGTGGTGGTGGTGGTGCCAACAGCAAGTGGAGCCGTCCTCTCAAGGTGACGATGGCGACAATGATGCTGGTGGTTGTGGCAGGAAGTTTGGCACAGTGGAGGGGGGTGGGGGGGCACAGCTGGTGCACGTCTGCCAGCCATCGCAGTCAGTCAACCCGTGGCACCAGGATCTGCTTCCGTGACCACCTCCTGCCAGCGGGCTTTCGACAACCTTGCGTGGCCCCAAAGTGCACCTAGCATGGCACAAGCACCGTGATGACATCACCGCCGCTAAGTGGTGAACGGCGGTTGTTGTTGTTGTTGTGTGTTCACGTGGCCCACGAATCACGGTGATGGTGTGGGCAGTGTTGGAGATAGGCGCCGCTCGAGTGATGATGACTGATGACGCTGCTGCGACGCAGATGACGACGGTTCATCCTGCTTGTCGTACGATGATCGTGTGAGGTGGCCGATGCTTTCATCCAACAGTGGACAGAACACGTGCGGCAATGTCATTGGTGATGCCTTCATCGAACGGTGGACAGAACACGTGTGACTATGGCACGGGCGATGCTTTCATCTAACAGTGGATGCGACGATTGCACCGCGTTCACCACGTGCCACACTCGAGCAGCGTACTCCAGTCGAGTGGGGGGGGGGGGGGAAGTGGTCACTTTATGCTACCGTCTTTCGCTAATTCATTAATTCACCCCACACCACCACCACCTCTCCCCTTCCACCACACCCCCCCCATACCAAAAGGATTTGCATTCCGAGAACTACAGCCTCACGAGACACCCCGTTCCTCCTTCCCCCCCCTCCTCCTCCACCCCTCCTTCCACATCACTCGCGATAACCGTGCCACACGCACAGACGGGCACAGCCACCACCACGCGCATGCACACCCCCACACACACATGCCCGCACAGGCGGGCACACCCCCCCCCCCCCACACACACGTGCACGCACAGGCGGGCACAGCCACCACCACCACCACGCGCGCACACACCCTCGCACACACCCTCACACACACGTGCACACACGTGCACGCACAGGCGGGCACAACCACCACCACCACGCGCGCACACACCCCCACACACACGTGCACGCACAGGCGGGCACAACCACCACCACCACCACGCACGCACACACCCTCACACACACGTGCACGCACAGGCGTACGCAACACAGGACGGACCGGCGGGTGAACGAGCGCACAGGTTGACGCGCGCACGCACAACGCGTGAACACGCCCACAGGCGGAGAGCCACGAACAGGAGCACGCGCAGGCCGCCGCGAGACGCAGGAACAGCAGCAGCACGGTTGTGGCACACGGGCACACGCGCTGCCAAACGAGCGCACGTGGACGCGCACAGACACAGACACACGCGTCGAAAAACACACATACATACACGCGCGCGACAGGACACAAGCAGACGCACGAACGCACACCCCACCCCACGGACGGACACCTACACCAACTCAAAGGTAGAAGACACGCGACACACACCGACACGCACAGCCAGACACAACACACCCTGAAAACACACACACGTACGCGCGCGCACACCGACACTCGTAACGGCATTGGGGGACTCACAGCGTTCTTCATCGCCCCGTACCCCTCTCACGGGGCGGGGGCAGGAGGAACGAACTGGGGTCTCGGCAAGGGGGTAGGGCGGCGTGCGGGGGGGGGGGGGGCGTGACCCCCAGTGAGAAAGGTCAGAGCAAGGGGGGGGGGCTCTGTCCCCTGTTGGGGGACGTGGCGAGGTGATGGGTGCGTTTGATGCCGACAACGATGACGGCGATGAAGGAGGATGAGGAGGTGCCACCTGGGATTGGAAACTGCTGAACGCAAACAGCGGAGAGCAGCGGAAACATCGTCACGGTTCTCAGACTAGCGAAGGGGATTGGGGGGGGGGGGTAGACATTTAAAGAGGGTGAGTGAAAGGGGGGCACCCCACCCCCTCCCCCCTCCTGATGGTGGCAGCTGCTGCCGCTGCTGCCACCCAGCCAAGGCTTTTAATGTCTCATCAAATACTCACTCTGTGGGGGGCTGCTCGCTGTGCGGAGTGGAGCGCGCCGGGTTCGCACGCGACTCGCAGGAGCCGCAAGCTCACGGTGGACAAGTGGTGGACACTGAAACGTGGTTGTGCAGCGGCTCAACTTAAACCCTCTCCAGCCCCCCCCCCCCACACCTCTGGATTCGCTCGCGTGCAGTGTTTGCGGGATCTGTGAAATACCAACTGCAGTTCTGCGCCCTCCCACCACCGCCACCACCACCGCCCCCACCACCACCACGGCACACACACACAGTGAACACACGCCGATCGTGTGAAAAACATAACCCTCACAACATAAGGCATAGAAGAATAACTTAGTCTGATTATCGAGCCAACATTCGTAGATTACCTTTTGGTCGTCGTGTCGTCGTTTTCCCGCGCGCGCGTGCGTCCGACACGCGTGCGTGTGTCTAGCCGCGTGTGCGTGACGCGTGTGCGTGACGCGTGTACACGGTGCGGTGGTGCACGCATGTGTGTGTATACGCGTGCGTGTGTATATGCGTGCGTGCGTGTGTATATGCGTGCGTGCGTGCGCACGCGCGTGTGTACGACGCGGCAGGGGCGGTTGCGGCGTGCGGGCTGGCTCGGAGCGACACGCGATTCCCGGTGCTTGCCCCAATCCATGGGGGGTATGACCGGGGGGGGGGGGCATGGCCGGGGGGGGGCAAGGCCAGAGGGCAAGGCCAGGGTATGGCACCACCACGTGACCGCTCAGTCTCAACCGCCGGATCGAGGGAGTTGGGCTGCTGGGACGGTGTTAGTCCTCAGAACTGGTACCACTTCTTATCCTTGTACTTGAGCATGAGCTGTACACACACAAACACACAAAGACAAAGATAGCCCCGTATAGCCTCAACGGACTGTTAGGACAAGCGCTGTTAAGAGAGCATCACTTATGAAGGCCGGCGCGGCACACGAGGGGGCGTGTGGCTAGCACCACGCCCGGCCGCCTTTGTCTCCCGAGTGGTCGACCTCGTGGTCGACCTCGTGGTCGACCTCGGGGAGGCTCAGGACCAGTTCAGATAATTTTTTGCCGGTGTTGGGCCTGAGCAGGAATCAAGTTCGGGTCACTGGGTTCGTAGTGCAGCATAACCGCTGCCATACTGCTCCCCGTGTGTTTGAGAGGCACGCAGACACAGACACAAGGCGAACATGTACATACTGACAAGCAAAACAAAGAGATCACGCCCTATAGCCATACGGGCCGTTGGGGTAGGTGCCGTGAGTGGGGACTATTTAGAATTGCTTTGTAACTCTCCTGTCTTACAATTTGAATCGTGCTGCTTGTTGCTGGACACTTACAATATTTGGGCCTTCAGGCCTGTGGACAGCGAATGTGTTAAGAAACAAAATAAAAACCCGTGGGCCTTGCTGGTGATGGCGGTGATGGCGATGATGATGGCGACAATGATGGTGACGATGAAGCCAAAGATGATGGTGATGATGGTGATGATATTCTTAGGTTTTTTCGGTAAAGTCACGTAGGTAAAAAAATTTAAATTAATAAAAGTACTTGATGCAGCAGTCGTGCTGTGACGGTTCCACCTGAAGACGGAAGCTTGTGTTGCCTCCGAAACGTCGTGATTTTTATTTTCTTTTTTATTATTAAAAAAATTGTACCTATGTGACTTTACCGAAAAAACCTAAGAATATGAACCCTTGCAGTCACGAAAGCTTCAAATCTAGATGGTGATGATAATGATGGCGATAATGATGGCGATAATGATGGCGACAATGATGGTGACGATGAAGCCAAAGATGATGGTGATGATGGTGATGATAATGATGGTGATGATAATGATGGCGATAATGATGGCGATGATGATGGCGATCATGATGGTGATAATGATGGTGACGATGAAGCCAAAGATGATGGTGATGATGGTGATGATAATGATGGTGATGATAATGATGGCGATAATGATAGCGATGATGATGGCGATGATGATGGTGATAATGATGGCGATAATGATGGCGATAATGATGGTGGCGATAATGATGGCGATGATGATGGCAACGATGCTGGTGACCACAATGGCGACCATGACAATGACCACGACGGTGACCACGATGACGACAATGACGACGACGATGACGACGACGGCGGTGACCACGACGGTGACGACGATGACGACGACGATGACGACGACGGCGGTAGCGCGGCGCTCACGTCATGCGCGTGCTTGGAGAAGGTATCGGCGCTGGCCAGCATGGCGGCCGTGCGGTCCTCCAGCTCGCCGAGCCGCTGGCCACGCTCGTCCAGCGCCAGCCGCGCCCGCGCCAGGTCGGCCGCCACGCCGGTGGCGGCGCCGCGCACCCCCTCCACGCTGCCCGAGCCCGGGATGTGCTGCGCCAGGCTCCGCGATGCCTTGCCCGCCGTCTCGCCAACTACGGAGAGAGGGGGGGGGGCGGAGGGGGGAGGCGGGAGGCGGAGGGGGGGGGCGGAGAGGGGGGGGGGTGGAGAGAGGCGGAGGGAGGGAGGCGGAGAGGGGGAGGCGGAGAGAGAGGGGGGGGGAGAGGGGGGGGCAGGTGGGAAAAAAAGACAAAGTTTTCTCCCCATGTAGCCGACACAGAATTTCGGTGGTTAGCGAGCAACCATTAAGGCTCTTGCGGCGACGCGAAGAGGGCGGGTGTGGCGAGCACCGCGCCCGGCCGCCTTTGTCTTCCCGGTGCCAAAGTTCACTCTCTGCACCGGGGTCCTGGTTTTAAGGCCGAGCCGACCACGGGGGATCCCGCGACTGCTGTCGGATGCTCGCCGCTGATGTTGTCGGCGTCCGGGGAACTCGTCGCGCAGCGCGCCGACCGGCGCGTCACCGCTCGGCGCGTCACCGCTCGCACGCCGTGCACGGCCACCCACACCAACGCACACACACACAAAGATCAAAGAAACCCCGTATAGCCTTAACAGACTGTAGGGGCAAGTGCTGTTAGCGAGCACCTATGAAGGACCGCCTTTGTCTCCCTAGTGGCAATGTTTAACACACCGCACCAGGTACTCATTTGAGGCCGAGTCGACCTAGTGGAGGCCTGGGACCGGTTCATATAATCGTCACTGGTGTTGGCCGTGAGCGGGAATCGAACCCGTGTCGCCGGGTTCGTAGCGCAGCGTGGCGCTAATCGCTGCACCACCGCTCCCCGCAACAAGCTACACGCTCCGTGTGTGTGCAGCCTCTGTCTCAATCCACAGCCGGATGAGCACCGAACCACTGCTTGCGCCCCCCTCTCAGCCAGCGCCCCCCCGCCCCCCTCTCCGCTGCCCCCCCCCCCCAGACTCACAGAGCTCCTCGCGGTCCACAGAGGGGGCGCTGCCCCCGAAGAGCCCCTTGAAGAACCCACGGTTGGGAGCCTCGGGGGTGTCCACGGGGGTGAAGAGCTCCCCCAACATCTCCTGCAAGGGGGGGGGGGGTCCTGCATCACTCACCCACACTCACCAATACTCACCCATACTCACCGGCACTCACCCACACTCACCAATACTCACCCACACTCACCCATACTCACCAACACTCGCTAACACACACCTACACTCACCCATACTCACCGGCACTCACCTACACTCACCAATACTCGCTAACACACACCTACACTCACCCATACTCACCAATACTCACCGGCACTCACCCACACTCACCAATACTCACCCATACTCACCGGCACTCACCTACACTCACCAATACTCGCTAACACACACCTACACTCACCCATACTCACCAATACTCACCGGCACTCACCCACACTCACCAATACTCACCCATACTCACCGGCACTCACCTACACTCACCAATACTCGCTAACACACACCTACACTCACCCATACTCACCGACACTCGCTAAGACACACCAACACTCACCGGCTCTCACCAACACTCACCAACACTCGCTAACACACACCAGCACTCACCCATACTCACCAATACTCGCTAAGACACACCAACACTCACCCATACTCACCAATACTCGCTAAGACACACCAATACTCACCCATACTCACCAATACTCGCTAAGACACACCAGCACTCACCCATACTCACCAATACTCGCTAAGACACACCAACACTCACCCATACTCACCAATACTCGCTAAGACACACCAATACTCACCCATACTCACCGGCACTCTCCAACACTCACACATACTCACCGGCACTCACCAACACTCACCCATACTTTCTAAGACACACACTCACCCATACTCGCTAGCACACACCTACACTCACCAAAACTCACCTACACTCACCAACACTCACCAATACTCACCGGCACCGGTGAGTAAATGCGCGAGTGAGATTGCGTGAGCGCGTAATTGCCAGTGCGTACGTGAACGTGTGCGAGCGTGAGTGCGTGCGTGCATCTGCCAGTCGTCTCGGTCAGTCAACCCGTGGCACCTGGGTCTGTCACCGTGACCTGCAAGCGGCGAGCCTTCGAAACTTCACGTGGCCTTAAAGCGCACCTAGCCTGGCACTCGCCCCTTGGTGGCGTCACCACCACTTAGCCCCGTACGGCGGCTGTTGTTGTTGTTGTGCGTGCGTGGCCGCACCTGCAGGTTCTCGCACATGTCCTGGCTGCAGGTGAGCCGCTGGATCTCGGTGGGGGAGCTCATGTAGAGGGCCTGGCCCTCGTTGGCGAAGCAGAAGGTGCGCGCTATCCTCATGTCCGTCACCGGCAGGTAGTTCACGTCCAGCAGGGGCCGCAGGCTCGGCAGGCTGCGAGGGAAGACGCGTCAGCGCGAAAGACACATAAAGGTCCCCCGTATAGCATTAGCAGGCTATAGGGGGCAAGTGCTGTTAGCGAGTAACAGCGCCTATCGAAGGCTGGCGATGTTTTTACACAGCAGGTACTCATTTGAGGCCGAGTCGACCTAGGGGGGAGGCCCAAGACCGGTTCAGATAATCGCCAGCGGGAATGGAACTCGGCTCAGCGGGTTCGTAGCGCAGCGTCGCGCTAACCGCTACACTGCCGCACGCACGCACGGTGCCGACTGTGTCCTCGGGGTACTGGGATAATCCAGCGTCGGAGTGCCCCGGGCCAGGCCCGTGTCTCTTCACCAAGCAGCACGTGGCCCCTCGGCAATCCACTCCGGCTCATTCGCCCACCGGCGGTCAGTCCCCCTCCTTAGCACCCCATCTGTCTGCCTCTCTCTCTGCCTCTCTCTCCCAGAGGTCGCAAACGGGTTTTGATTTCTTATCCGTACCCGGCCGCACCAGGGTCGCAAACGGGTACCCGTACCCGGCCGTACCCGTACCCTACCTGTACCCGGCCGGGTACGGGTAGGGTACGGGTATCGGGTACCTGATTGCGACCTCTGGGATGAAGCCATGTTGCAGGTGCGGGTGGGTTGATTCTAGGAACTTGAATTGTGAGAAGAGACAAAGACGTTGGGAAATGAGTGACAAACGGTTACTCACCAGTGACTCACGGCCTACCTGTACCCGTACCCGGCTGCACCAGGGTCGCAAACAGGTACCCGTACCCGTACCCGGCTGGGTACGGGTAGCCGGGTATCGGGTAGGGTACGGGTATCGGGTACCCGGTTGCGACCTCTGCTCTCTCCCCATTTGTGCCTCTTTCTCCACCTCCCTTCCCGCCTGCGTCTCCCTCTCTCTGCCTCTCTCCCCATTTGTGAGTGCGTGCGTGTGCCTCTCTCTCTCCGCCTCTCTCTCCATGTGCCTCTCTGTCGCTCCGTGCCCGACGGCCCCACCTGAAGGCCATGATGTGGCCGTGGGCGCAGAACGCGGCGAGGCAGGCGGCGCCGCCCAGGCTCACGGCGTCGCCGCGCAGCACGAACGACGTCTCCGTGATGCTGTGCTTGTAGGCCACCGCCTGCGACGGGAGCGACACCACCTTGGCCTGCTTCTCCGAGCACAGCAACATGAACTGCTGCTCGCCCTGGGGGCCGCCACCCGCTACGCCTCCTCCCGGCCCACTGCCGCCGCCGCCACCTGAAACGACAACGACGACGACGATGACGACGACGACGATGACAGCGGCGGAGAAGACGAGCAGTTTGATTCGTGCTTCGCCAAAGACTCGCACAGAGACCCAGAGACTCACACAGAGACCCATAGACTCGCACGTAGACCCATAGACTCGCACAGAGACCCATAGACTCGCACAAAGACCCATAGACTCGCACAGAGACCCATAGACTCGCACAGAGACCCATAGACTCGCACAAAGACCCATAGACTCGCACAGAGATCTATAGACTCGCACAGAGACCTAGAGACACGCACAGAGACAAATAGACTCAGACAGGGAACCACACAGAGACCTGCAGACTCACACAAACATTTACTGCACTGTCTCTGATCAATATCAATGAAACATCAATATTCGCCATCTCAAGGGTAGGGAGATCGCCCCCATCATCGCCCCCTCCTTGATCCGCCACCGTGCGTGCGTATGGGCCATGGTCTCCACGGTCCATCCATGCTCCTGCTGCTCCTGCTGCTGCTGCCAGCACCACGGGGAGCACCGACTCACCGGGCAGGTCGGGCCCAGACTGCGACGGCGACACGGAGACGGGCCGGCGCTTGCGCGAGATCCTCCCCTCCCGCTCGTCGCGCTCCTCGGCGCTGTTGGGGTCGCGCCACGGCTCCGCCGGCGGCGGGGTCAGGGAGCCGTCGCAGCCCAGGAACGCCAGCCGCATGATGGCGCCCTTCAGCCGGAACACCGTGCCTGCGGCGCACCGTTGGAATGAGCGGGGGGGGGGGGGGGGGGGTGGAATGGAACCAGCGGAGAGAGGGAGGACTCCAGCAGCAGTAGCGGCGCTCGCAGCGGCAGCGAGAGCAATGGCAGCACCGGAGGTGACGCGACCGGTGCCAGCACGGGCGGGCGGCGGTGACACCAACGGCGCAAGCAGCGCCATCGTAAACAAACGAATAAACAAGCAGAATAATGCAACGCCGATGCGGTTGATGATTCTCGTGATGACGACACTGACGCTGCTGATGATGATGGTGATGATGATGGTGATGATGTTGGTAATGATGATGGTAATGATGATGATGGTAATGATGGTAATGATGATGGTAATTGATGATGATGGTAATGATGATGATGGTAATGATGATGATGGTAATGATGATGGTAATGGTAATGATGATGGTAATGGTAATGATGATGTTGATGGTAATGATGATAGTAATGATGATGGTGATGATGGTAATGATGATCGTGATGATGGTAATGATGATCATGCCGATGGTGATGATGATGCGGATATGCCCGGAACGCCGTGCCGCTCACCGCTGGGCGACACGATGACGGGCTGGGAGAGGCGCGCCTCTGCGGGCGAGGCGGAGGGCAGGGTGAGCAGGATGCCCATGACGGTGCCCAGAGAGGTGCCCACCCAGAGGCAGGGCGAGGGGCTGCCCCCCGCCGCCCGACAGCCGAACGAGTCGGCGTAGCAGAGCGCCGTGATGGCCTCGCGCGCCTCCTTCTCGATGCTCGACACGCTGGACGAGCGCGAGCGGCTGAACGAGTTGTCGCGGCTCTCTGCAGGTGAGCGACGCGCAGACGTGCGCACGCACGCATGCACACACACACACATACAGACGCACGCGCAGACGCAGGCACGGAAGGGCACGTACGCGCACACATACAGACGAGTGCGTGTACGCACGCAGAGATGCGCACAGACACACAGACGCACACAGACGCACACACACGCGCGCGCACACGGGCGGGCAGACACGCAGAGAAGACGGTGAGCATTTGGGAGTGGACAGAAGGGTGCGGGGGGGGAGCAGCACGGGGAGAGCCGACACACAGCGGTGGCGCCGGACAGCGCCAACAAGTTACAGCATCAGCAGCAGCAGCAGCCGTAGCAGAAGATTACGGAGAAGCAAGGAGGGTGTTAGGAGGGCGCTCACACAACACGGAACTCGAGAACACCAAGCCGACAACAACCACGACGACGACCACCACCAACGCCAACACCAACACGGCCCATCGACAACCGCAGGGTGAATGACAACAGCGGTGACATCACGGTAACCACACGGCGACCGGCAACCACGGGAAGACGACGACCACAAGCAATCGGGAGGCCGCAGGAGATTGGCAACCACTGGCGACTGGACAGCCGCAGGACACGTACGACCACAGGAGATCGGGAAACCACGGGTGATTAGAAACCACGGAGCAACCACAGGCCACGACCGACAACGACGAGACACCGACGGACGTGGGACGTTCAGAAACCACGGGACAGTGACGGCCACAGGCGGATCAGGAAACCACGAAGGCGATTAGCGACACCGACAGCCAAACCACGGGACACCTACGACCAGGGCTGATCGGAAAACACGGAACGGCGACGACCACGAGCGATCGGAAGGGCACTCCCCTGGGGCTCGGTCGGAGTGGAGCGCGGGGCGGGGGGGGGCTCTCCGTCAGAACCGCCGCGTGCGTCTGGGCTTTTGCGGACGTTCAACGCGCAGTTTGGGAGGAAGCACGCGGTCCCCGCGTCGCCTCGCCGGCGCGGGTGGCCTCGGGGGGGTTCAATCGGCGAGCGGCGGCGGCCGGCACCGCTGCAGGCCACGACGGGGCCACGGGGCTCGGGTGGCGGCTCTACCGGGGTGGGGTGGGGAGGGGACGCCTCCGCCCACGTGGCCGCGATGCCCGATGCCTTTTAGCCCTGGTTTTTTTTGTTATTCCCGTCTACGAAGTCGAGTCGACGCTCGCATCAATTCGTGTGGTGCCCTCCCGGCCGATTTCCCCGAGGGCGGCAACAAGGCCACGCTGAAGCCTCCCGCGGCGTTGAGTTCGAGCCGATGTCACGAGGACAACACGTGACGGACGGCACGGGGGTAAAATACCGAACCCGTCCGATTCAACCGCTCGCTCGCTCGCCCGCACCCCCCGACCGACCCCACTCCAACCGAGCCCCGTTAGTTACCGTGCCCCTACGCAGCAACGAGGTGAGGGGGGGGGGGGTGGGGGAGGGGTCCCCGGCACACGCGAGAGTTCGAGTCCGCGACATCCAGCGATCGTCACCGCGGGCGTTGGAGGTCACCGCCAGGCCCAGGCCCGGGCCGGCATCTCCGTTGGTTCCGGGCGGCCAGGCCTCGGCCGGGGAGGAGGAGGAGGTCGACGGGGTTTTGGCGCGAACGCCCGCGCGGGGCCCCCCGCCGGCGCGGCCTCGCGACCTCGGCCCGCCGGTGCCGCCGGCGCCGTCTGCGCTGTAAAAGCGGCGGCGGGCCGAGGGGGCCCACGACGGCACCGCCACGGCCTCGCCGCCGGGGCTCGTGGCGCCTGTCCCACCGTCCGGTTGCTCTGAGAGCCGCAGGGAGGAGGGGGAACGTCGCACGGGAGCGGTGGCAGCGTGAGCGCGGCGGCAGAGCGAGCGCGGCGGTGCCACGATGGTGCAGGGCGGAATGCAGCAGAGTGGCGCTGTGGCTCACGGCATCTGACGCACGCGCTGGCGTGTAGCTGACACAGACCTGACTCGATGAATTGACGACTCGATGAATTGATGTCTCATTAACTCGATGACTCGGTGAATTGATGACTCGATGAATTGATGACTCATTAACTCGATTACTCGGTGACTCATTGATGCAGTCTCACAAGCACGGACACACAAACAAACACACACGCAGACAAGACACAGACGGACAGACAGAAAGACAACTGACAAAGATCTCCCACATAGCCTTGACAGACTGGAGGAGCAAGTGCTGTTCAGCGAGCACCTATAACGGCCAGACAGACACACACAGACAAACGCACACACACATCGTTATGGGCTCTCAAAGCGCCGCAACGCTTGAATAATTTATGGAGAAACGTGAGCATCGAGAAGCCTGCAAAGCGCAGGACATTTCACAAACACACCGAGCGGTTAGTGAGAGAGAACGCAAGCCGAGCGCGAGGGGTGGACGCGAGGGGTGGACGTGAGGGGTGGACGTGAGGGGTGGACGTGAGGGGTGGGCTCGAGGGGTGGACGCGAGGGGTGGACGCGAGGGGTGGACGTGAGGGGTGGGCTCGAGGGGTGGACGCGAGGGGTGGACGTGAGGGGTGGACGTAAGGGGTGGACGCGAGGATTCCATCCTGAGCTGCGATCAGGCATCGCCATTTGGGAGGGAAATCACGTGAGAAATCACAGCCGCGTGGTTACAGACCCCCCCCCCCCCCCACTGCACAACCACGCCACCCACCCCTCCCCCACACCTCACCACCCCACCCCACACCTCACTACCCCACACCTCACCACCCCACACCTCACCACCCCACACCTCACCACCCCACACCTCACCACCCCACACCTGATCATCCCACACCTCACCACCCCACACCTGATCATCCCACACCTCACCACCCCACAACCTCAACCGGTGAATCGTACACCCCCCCCCCACCACCGCACCTTAGCCACAGCTTACCCACCTCACCAGTCCCATGCCACACCCTCACCGCACACCCTCACCCCCCCCCCCCGTCCCCCACACGTGACGGCATCACGTCCCGATCCCCCCCCATCTCATCTGCAGAGGAATCACGGCGGCGGCGGCGGCGGCGGCGGAGGTGGCGGCAGCAGCAGCGGGATTAGTGGCAGCCAATCAGCGCGCGGCTCCTCGTTAGTGCGATTGGCTCGTGATTGGTTAGTGCGGTGCTGCCCTGCGTGGCACAGCGAGACCCTTGATTAGTGTCAATTAGTAGGGGAGGGGGGTGGTGGGGGGGGCGGTGGGGGGGGGGGATAGAAGGATGGGGGGGGGGGGACATGTTACCTAAATCTGCCACCGAGCTGGGTGACTTTACTCTCCGGCTCTTTCCTCGAACTGGAACAAAGATGGGGGGTGCCACGTGGCAGCGGTTAAGGAGGTACAGGCGCAACCCTGCAATGCCAGCGGACGAGGAGCTCGTCCGAGCACTAGCCAGGGCGTAAACCTGCTTAGCTT